GGGAAATAAAACTTCTACTTATTTTTGTTTATTATGTATTCGTATTTTTATTTACTTTTTTTGTTTAAAAAATGTTAAAGCTACTTTTTACATATTTTTCTTAAATTCTTACTTTTTTGTTAGTTAATTAATAATAAGTAGTTGGGTTTCATGTTACTTAGTTACTTTTCACAGTTTTATTTTACAATTTTAAGAATTTTCTAAACAAATTCTACAATATCCTATGTATGTATATGTATTTGCCATTTTGGATGTTTGCTAGGTGTTCGCTATTTTATAAAATATTTTCGTTTGCCTGAAATTATAATTTTGTACTTCTTTTTACAATGCTTTTTTTTTAATTGGAATTGAATTTTTTACCCAATTTGTTATTAACTAAGAAAACCATTTTCCAGAGCTAATGAATAGTGCATTGCTATAGCGAAGCGCCTTTTTTAACTTTTCCTTTACAATTCGTATTAGCTGATGATTCGTATTAGGGATGAAGCTCTCTCTGCCCACAATTTTTGTAAACCAGTGGTGGGCAGCCCCTTGACCGCTTAAGCTGTCTTTCATTTTACATTGACGCATGTAGTGTAAAAGCTCTCTCTGCTCATAAATGTTTTAAACATACATTTGTAAATACTTTTGCTTTCACAGAATTTAGGTCAACTATTTTAACGTTTCTAGTCAAAATCTATGCAATTCAGTCAGCTGAAAAGTGTAAATACATATGTGCCATTTATGTTATTAACAGTTTTATTTTATGTGTTTTTGTTTTTCAGTGGTAAATTCTCATAAATTTAATTATATTGTTAAATGCGTTTTTGATTTTAAATAAACTGACGCTCTATTACATTTACACACACACATATGTATATAACTTAGGCGCGATTGTCCGTTCTTAAGCAACGCAAATTTTTTCATTTTGTTCCTCACAACTTTTTTCAGTTATTTGTTTATGAAGACGTCATATTTCTGCACACATATATTTTTTCTTAATTTTATTTAATATCTACCATACATACAAATAAATATGTTTGTTGGGGTGGTCCTTAAAATATCAACATTAAAAATTTTACATAATTAAGACATCCTCGACGATTTCAGAATTTTGCTACCCCTAAATTTTGTTTAAACTTTCGTGGATGCCTTTATTTTGTACGTAAAACAAAATAAAGGAGTTTTCTCTCCATGATGCGGATATTTTTAAGAACCACCCTAATGGTCATATATACATACATTTTTATGTATCATATTTTTATTATTCTAATAAATACTTTATTAAAACTTAGATACTAACAACTTTCACTTTATAGTTATTCACTAATTTAACGGTGTCACGAAAACAATTGCATGCATTTCTACTAACAACTACTTAAAACTTTATTGTTTTATTTAAATATAAATTTAACTCTTTAGGGAGCCAATTTTAATAATAAAAGAGTTATTAATAATTTTTCAACTCAAAATATATAGATATATTTTTTTTGGAAATTACATTTTTTTGTTAATTTATTAAAAAAAAATTTATTAAAACAAAAAACATAAAATACGCGTCCTCACACACCTTTCTTGTTACTAAAGTACCTGGTTAAACGATTACGATGCCTCTGTATATTTTATTGCCGGATTATATAACCGGATAACCCAAAACCCGGAAGGACATGAAGACGATCCAACAACAATCGCGTATTCGTAATTTGAACGAACAGCTGTTGACACAACAAAACGAAACCAGGTAGTTGTGAAGAGATAGACATTTGTTTTATATGTATTAGGGTGGTGCTGAAAATATCAACATCAGGAGGCACACCTTTTTTTGTTCTACGTACTAAACAAAGACATCCACGAAAATTTCAAAATGTAAAAAATTAATTCCTACAAGGGTTTGAAAAATAAAAATTTGTTTAATTTGTAAAAGTTCCACAAAGTATTGCCTTTGAATTTATAACTCAGCTGGTTTATGAATTTATATGAAAAACTTTTAATAAGTAATTTATTAGATTTCAATTATTTTTTTCTATTTAAACAAAAAATACTAAACTGTTTTATCTATTTTATTTTATTTGTCGCTGTGAACAACTAGGGCTCAATACACCTACATAAATATGTACATATCTTAAATCATTTCAGTAGCTACTTATCTAACACATTTTGTGTTTTCGCATTAATATCAGGGTGGTCCTTAAAATATCAGCATCAAAATTTTGTATGGGGGACTTTATTTCGTTTTACGTACTAAATAAAAACATCAACCAAAATTTCAAAATTTTGTAATAATTTTTAGGGGCCGTTGTAAGGGATTGAAAAAATTTTACTTCAAAAAGAATTAAAATTTTCTACAAAATCTTTACTTTTACAGCTATATTCCTGCGAGGAGAGTCCGATCAAGCACAATTAGTGGTATGTCATTTGACGCGTACTAGAATTGGCTTTCTAACGAAATACTCATTAATGTTGTTGTTGTTGTAGCGGCTACACTCATTAATCGCATTTGTCAGTTAAGCAAACAAAAACCTTTACACAAAAAAATACCATAACCTCCATAGGAAAAATGAAAAAAATATGCGTTTTGAGCTTAGGAAGTCCATACTAATTACCCCTTACACATGAATTTCTTGGTATTTTTAAATAAGATTATTTGTAAACCAGTATTATGTACTTAGAATTTAGGAAAAATTTTAAAAATGCTGCACTTATTCCGAAAAATCTAAAAAAAAATGGCAATCTTTGGAGCTTGGTATTGCAACCCAATCGGCGTGGCTTTTGAATTTATATGAATAGTTTTTACCAAGAATTTGAACAAATTTAATTCTGGCAATTTTTTGTTAATTTCAATATTTTTGAACCCTGGTAGCGACAGAAAATTAATTTAAAACATTTTAAAGTTTCTTGGATGTTTAACGGCCGCTCCAAAAGTTTGAACAAATTTAATTTTTATTTTTTTTTTTCAATATTTGTGAACCACTAAAAATTATATGAAACATTTTAAAGTTTTGTGGATGTTTTTATTTTGTGCGTAAAGTGGTGCTTTCGACTGAACTTAGATGTTGATACTACATACTATTTAATTTGCTATATATTCAACAAACATACTTTTAAACTACCGCTCCAAGTTCACGGTGCAATTCTTTATTCGCATTCTAATATTTTTTTTTACTTAAGTTGTTAATTTACAACAGGCGATTACACAATAACATGTGTATGTATAAGAGTAAATATATACGAGTATACTAGTTAGGTATGGAATCTAAAAATACCCTGCAGGGAAACCGTGAACTATGTAGTGAATAAAATGTATAGTTCCGTATTAGTTTTTTATCGCCAAAAACGAACCAGTCCACTTTTTTCATTAGAAATCTATATCTAAGGTGACGAATTTAGAACTGGTTCGGAACCAGAGAAAAAGGTATTCAGAACGAACTAGATATGTGTTTGGCGGCTTTTTCGTTCAAATGCGCATCTAATCTGCATTTTCCCCACTGAGCCAAAGTGACCCCTTTTTTGCGACTTACAGAAAATTCTCAACGGCAACACTGCAGCTAACCACGAAAGCCACTTAAGTTGTTAATGAACTGCGAAAACCCCTTTTGAAAAATGCTTTTGACTTGGCGTTTTTTAAATTAGCGTTTTTTAAAGTAAACACTTGCATTTTAAACTTTGCCCGGAAACCTGTTTCAGGCAAAGTAGAGGGCGTGTATACCTAAAGGCACGTTCACACTATCGTAATTTATGGCTCATTCGTAATTTATAAGCAAATCATGTTGAAATCAAATAAATTCACCCTGTAAAATCTGTAAAAAAAAATACGTTGAAATGAGATAATTAGAACTCGGATATATTTTTAATTTTCAAACAGTTGGCAACCTTAACCAAGAATATTTTCACCTGTAGGAGGCCTTTAACCTTTATTGAAATATTTACTTTACCGTATCACTATGCTATAAAATGAGTTCTCTGTTTTTACGCGCAATTAGTGTTGCCATTTTATAAATAAAAAGTACTGAAACAGAGTTTTAAAATTTTTTAGTCATAACAAAAGTTGCTTCAAAAACACATTTAAATACAGAATTAAAATTATGTGTTGGCATTTTTTATTAGTGTTAGTTGCTTGTGTATTGGCGTATTCTTGCATATGTAATCTTATGGCTATTTGTATAAGTAGTATTTACTGCAAATATATTGTACACATTTTAATATTGTTTCGTTTGGATTACACAATTAAACAACTATTTTATTTAAGTAAATAATTATTGTTTTGACACTAAACTATTGTAACTGTAATCTATATATAGTATAGGTATGTATGTATACGGACATGCAAGTATGTATGTTTTTATTACATTTACTTATTAATTACGTAGTTAATTTACTTATTAATTTATAGTTAATTGTTTTTATTTTCACAAAATTTGTTCTTCATCAGTTTCCGGTGACTCCGGTAATATAATAATAATTAAAAAAACTTATCAGACAGACACTTTTCTCACGGTTTAGAGAAAAACAGTTCAGCTATTTAGGAATACATATCGCACACCGTCTTCAAAGGAGTCACAACTCAAAATAATACGCTCGCCAGAAAATGCGAAAAGCTATTTCGTAGCACATGCTAATCATATGGGAAAGGGCGACTCGACCTTAGGTTTTTTTTTCAACAAATTATAACAAAAATTTGCTCCAGCTTTTGCTGAAAGGCAAATAAAAGCTCTGTGTACATTATTAGCACATAATTTCAAAAATTCCAAATTTTGAGTTGAGACTCTTTTGAAGACGGGAACACTCAGTTTGCAGTAACCTCTGAAAACAGTTTTATTTTATTCAAACAACAGCAGTTTTGAGATATTTTTTGAATTACATCTTTTGTAAATCTCCCCAAGAAATACGTGACATTGCCAATGTAGCATTTTAAGATCTCACCGCATTGCCAGGTTGCTCATATTGACAACACAAGTCTCGTATCCGTTCTATACTTGTACTTGTATAATAGAACCTTTTGTCTTTTATAACTAGCCGTTCTCGTTGCAGTGCTGTATCTTTTTTTAATTTCTAAATTACAAATATCAGCTGTTTCCTTTGCTGCTGTGCTCCAAATGCATTTTTTATTACATAATTCCTTTTTTCTTTGCTCTGTCTCTTGTTTTCCCCCGTTTCATAGCCAACGGCCTTCGCTGCACTTCTGGCTGTCCGCTCCTCGGCGCTTTACTTCGCCACCGGCTTCACTTCCAGCAGCTGTGGATAATTTTCTACGATATTCAACAATATTGTATCGATATAATGCTTTAGGCGGGTGTTCTCATCTTCCTTCTCTTGAAAGGCTTGTTGCAACTGCAAAAGAAACGAATAAAAAATTTTATAAGTTAATATTTATCGCTTTGTGAAATACAAAAATAATAGATAAAGAAAAAAAGTGTTACTTATACTGTAAGCGTAGGATAAGTTAGTCAAATTGTAGACCCTTGAACCGATAGATGTATTAAATATTTATATACCGCATACTGTGTTTTGAGCTATCGCCTTTTTCATGAGGCGTCTCATTCACCAAAAACTGCAGACCTAGAGTTAGATACGTTTGCACATTACTCACGAGGACAAGGCATTTACATGCTCATTGAAGGATTGGTAGTTAGGAGATTTCCTACTCTATTCTAATGGAGTCTTCCAGATACCTGTATGTCTCCGCTCGTAAAGGTGGACAGTATACGTGTACGTTAGACATACGCCAGAAGTAATACTCTAGAAGAAAGCTGACTCACAAGGTGGAGCCCTATCCCCTCTGCTTTTGGGCCTTGTCAGTAAACCAACTGCTCAGAGACATGAAGTGGGCAATTTCCGCAAACATTATGCTATGTTATGCAAAGAATACTAAGAGAGTGGAAAAGTAGGCCAACGAAAACTGTCGTGGATAAACCCGAGCAAAGCGGAGCTTGTATTATTTTCCACTAAGAATAAGAATAAGGAATAAGATTCCAAGATTAAAGGCCCCTACTATGGCGAATACGGAACTTGCCATCAGTGAATCTACTTAATATCTGGGAATCATACCAGATAAGAAATTAAGCTGCCGGGACACAAAGGTATACCAGGGCACTTCCCTTCCACTCGCTACCAGCAGGCTCAATATACAAGTATACTTCTTCTCCGAAGCAGGCAAAAGATGAAAGATGTTGGGAACATGCTATACGGAAAAGCTTATATGTCCGGGATGGGATGCGAAAAGAAAACGAACTCCTAATGCTTAGGAGGGGAGAAATCTCTTTAGTTACGGGTCTGCTGGCCGGTCTCGTCACGCTAGGTAGGCGTCTCACGCGTCGCGAGATACCATAGCATTCGCTTAGAAACTTCGACTGTCACTTGGACGAAGTCCCAAAAGTCAGCAGTATTCTGTGGGAATTTACCCGTTAGGAGTTTATTAGAAGGTGGAATTTCTTGAGAAGATACAAGAAAGAAAGCACTTTTCCTGATGTAGTTTTGTTTAGCATTGACAGAGCTTTGCTGTTCCCTCAAAGCTGTTATTTTTGTTGTTGCGGTGGCTATAATAAACCTTGACTAGTTCGGTTAGTTTCGAGAAAGTAGAGAATTTCGTTTACTTGGGAACCAGCATTAACATCGATAATAATGTCAGCATTGAAATCCAACGCAGAATCACTCTTGCCAACAAGTGCTACTTTGGACTGAGTAGGCAATTCAGGAGTAAAGTCCTCTCTCGACGTACGAAAACCACGCTCTATAAGTCACTCATCATGCCCGTGCTGGTATATGGCGCAGAAGCATGGACAATGACAACATCCGATGAGGCGGCTCTTGGGGTGTTTGAGAGAAAGATTTTGCGGAAGATTTACGGTCCTTTACGCGTTGGCGACGGCGAGTACCGCAGACGATGGAACGATGAGCTGTATGAGCTTTACAACGATATGGACATAGTGCAGCGAATTAAAATACAGCGGCTCCGCTGGCTTGGTCATGTCGTTCGAATGGACACCGACGCTCCAGCTCTGAAAGTATTCAACTCGGAACCCGCTGGTGGTAGCAGAGGAAGAGGGAGGCCCCCACTGCGATGGAAAGATCAGGTGGAGCAGGACTTGGCTTCACTTGGCGTTTCCAATTGGCGTCAGTTGGCACAGAGGAGAAACGACTGGCGTGCTTTGCTGAACTCGCCCAAAATCGCTTAGGCGGTTACAGCGCCAAAAAAGAAGAAGAAGTTCGGTTAGCCTTTTATGTCGCTGCCGGTAAATTTTAATAATGAATAGGCTCAGGAACGTCTTGTTATGATGGAATCGTGGGTTTGTTAAGAGGTGGTTGGTTTTGTGTGAGTTTGCTCCACACGCCGAACATGTAAATATTGTGACGACCAACCTCCGGCATCATAGCCGAAGTGCAGAAGTCGACAAGCCTGAAACAATATAGGCTATGGAATGGTGAATGATGGAGACAGATGGAGGAACAGCCAAGATACATTGGTGACTTAAATCTTTTTCAACACTCTTGCTTAAATTTTAAATTACTGTCTGACTTTTTTTCTGAGTTTACAATTCGTATCTCTGCTGCACTTTTCCTCTATGATGAAAAACGATATTTTTCGGTCGGCACCTTAAAACAGATAGATAGTGGATTCATAACTTAATAAAATAGTTCCCAAACCCAACAGATTTTTATTTTAAGGTTTATATAAAGGAGTTCACCTAATTCATAGCTATGACAGCCCAAAATTTTTCTGAACATTCCATTTTTTCTGAAAATTCCAAATTCTTCATGCAATTTGGCTAATCTTTTTTTTCTGTTTAAATATGTCCAATGGATTTCCAAGAAGATAAGCTTAACTACACAAAAATTAAATATTTGTTAGTATTTATATGGAATTTTGTTTTTTTTTCTCCAAAGTCCATACCCACACATTTGTATGCTTGTGTTAGATAAGTTTCCAAAAACCGTTCATTATTTAATAAAGTATAATTGACAATGACTTAAAACTTAATATAGAAAAAATATTAATATTCCTAATTGAAATTCGTAGAATGTCGAGAGTGCACTTTTTGGTGCACAGTATTTCCGAGCTTTATTAAGTATGATGAAGAGATGATGATGATTTTTTATAATTATCCTGTATCTTAATTTAAATTATCTTTCGGCGACACTAATATAAAATATGAATATTTTCCCGCAACTTTAAAATTTGAGGATGTCGATTATTCAAAGCCAATATTAAAAAGCCTTCGACCCATGCAGACTTTATCCTCTTTCTTCTGGTTTTTTTTTGGATAAACTTTTTTTTTGGAAGACGTTAAAATTTTTTTTCAATTTTCCCGCTCTCTGTTTTGTGTTTAAGTTGGAATAAGCTTTGCGGTTCCAAAACACTTTTTTTACCGAATTTACTTATATTACTTTGTGTTTATATTTCGGAGGTTTTTTGCTTTTTTGACACTTCTTCTCAAATCCTTACAGCCGTTCTCTTGCAAAGCTAAAAAGTTTTGCGACTCGAGGAGACTTGGAGATGTTTTGAAAGCTTTAAGTAGCAGGATGAACACGAAGTCCACTGAAGTCCACGAGTAGCCTCAAAGAACATAGAATACATAGAAGTTGCGAAAGTAGGCCGGTAATCTACCTTTTAGAACGGTAGTGCACCCGCCAGGCTTACTCAGATACATAATACAATTTCAATTATTTCAATTCCTTTTTGAATTCCAAGGGTTAATTACTACTGACGCGGTAGCCGTACTGGCCAATGTTGCAGGTTCTTTCTAAGCCATGTTGTTTGGTAGACTTACATGAATTGCATTTATACCAGCAACCGCCAGAGCTTTCACTTTCTAAATGAAGCTTTAAAAAGCTTCTATCTCGTCATATGTTTTGGTCGTAACTGATACGAGTACCCGCGAGTTAAGAGTGCGGTCACCCACGAACGTATACGTATACGTAGCGTAGCGTAGAAGTACGTAGAAACATATCAAGTTTGCTGTTGATAGAGAAAGATAAGATATGTCACGGTCATGCGGTGGTAAGGTTTTGTTAACACCGTTACCGTTCTCTTCATATTTGCAAAGTTTCACAAAGGTGGGACAGCGTTTACTATTTTTGGCTACGGCTTATATGGAGCTGCAACACTGTGCAGCGCCTTCTCATAGATAAATTGCTCACTAAACAATTTTAAGGTGACTTTAACTTTTCTAGTGAAGCTTTAGAAGACAGAACAGGTTTCCGCGTAGTGTTTTCGTATCAATTTTCGTCATTCGTTGTCAAATTTGGTGCCGGTTCTGGATAAAAATATTTCTAGTTTCATTTCTTTTTAGTTGTCTGGATGTAAGGCCTTGTAAGGATTTGAGGCCTTCTTGAAGAGTAACTTGATAAAATTTATACAGTTTTTATAGTTTTTTTTCAAAAGTTTCATAATTGCGCACATTTTTCCACTCTGTTTGGATCGCTCTCCATCGTTTTCTCTATTTTATCTATTTTTTTTTTTAACACAAGACCAGCTTTTAAGCTTTAAAAAATTATATATTTTTTTGATTTTCTTTTAACCAATCACCAATCCCAAACCAGAAGGTATTAAGCCAATCCATCGAAAATCTCAAACCATTTCTAATTTTCCATTTATTCACACCGCGATTATTATTACCTGACTTAGAGATGCTAATGTGGCTGAATCCACAGAATCCTGTAAATGAAAATAAATAAAAGAAAAGAGAATACAAAATAATAAACAACATATACATAAACATAGAGTATGTGAGCGATATAACGGTGTGAAACGATTACAAGAACATGGGCGGACACGAAACAAAGAAGAAACCAAAAACGGGCGGACAAAACGAACAAAAAATTAAACTGAAATAAAAAATTTTGCTTAAGTTAAACTTTGAATAAACTTAAAATCGAAAACAGCTAACAGCTGTTGCTTAAAGCTTTGAGCTTATTATAAAAGTTTCAAAAAAGCTCAAGTTTTAAAAAACGAACTCAAAAGCATTCCTGCGGTATGTGCGCATGTATATGTGTTGTGTGTAAGCTTCTGAACTACGCTAAGCTTAGCTAAATGCAGCGTATGTGGTTTGTGCTTGTTTTTGTTTTTTATGCGAAAGCATGAGCGACGGGGTTAGAGCGACAAAAGCTTAGCTAAAACAACTAAAAAAAACCTCTCGTAGGGAGCGTAAGTGCAGTGTATAAATTTTTTGTTATTCCTTCCTTAAAATTTTAATCAAAATAGGTAATGCAATCGACACCCACCTGTGCTTGTGACATTTCCTCTAGCTCTTGCGCCAAGCTATTTAGCGTGCCATTGAGCAGATTGCGGCCCTCTTCCACGCCGCGCGTCAGCACTTGCGCCTGCAGCTCTTCATTTTGTTCCTCCATTGCTAAATTATTATGGCATGAAAGTTTAGTCTCGCACCAGCAAAAGTTAAATTATTAGCAACTCACCTTTATTTCTTTGCCGCATCTCCTCCAGCTCTTTATGCAGCTCCTCCAGTCTTATTGTCTCCGGTGAGGTGGTCGGCAGCGCTGGTCCAGTTTCTGCGCGTAATCGTTCCAATTCTTTACTCAACTCCAGCATCAGCTCTTCGGCTGCTTTCTTCTCATCTTCATATTTACGTTCACGTTGTGTCGCCTCATCGAGATCCTGCTGGAGTGCGGCAATTTGATCGCGCGCCAATTCATATTTTTCTTCGGTGCGATGCAGATCGTTGGCTTGTTTGTCGCAGAGTACACGCAGACGTTGTGCCTCTTCACGTAACGCATTGGCTTCTAATTCAATTGTTTTGATTTTTATTTGGCAATTTTCATTCTGGAGTGCCGCTTCCCGTTCGACGCGTGCCAGCAGTTCACGGTAACGTTTCTGTTCCTCGGCCAGGCGTTCCTCGGCACGGAGTTCGGACTTTAAAAAAAGTTTGTAAATACATAAATAAAATTAGTGAACGGTTCAGTTATTTGCTAACGTTTTTGGGTTTAATTTTGAGATGTGACTTTTGTAGCTGTCCGAATTTTCGTTTCTTGTCGTTGGAGAGTAGTTTCGCCAACTAATGCTCTTAGCATCAATTAATATTATGATCTAGAATCCTTTTTTTTTATGGGAAGGCGTTACCTCACAGGTGTTGCCATACTAATTTGGTTTAAATCCGATCAGTGGATCAGAAAGAAATCAACGATAATCTTAGATGTTTATGTGAGATTTGAAGTCGGTTTTGTTTTTTGCTTAAAAATTACTTGTTGTTTTGACAAATTCAAGGAATGGACATTGGATTTCTCCTGGTTTCAGAACTACACACATATGTACCTAGTAAGAAGGTCTAAGTATGATGGCCCGACAATAAATGAACCTGGCTCTCAGAACTCTAAATGTCGTTGGATTATCATCTTCGTGCTCAATCAAAATTAATTTTCGCAAGTCGTGAAACCTTTGAAGGAATGATTTAAATGGCTTCAGCTGGCTTTGCTTTCCCAATCTTCTTCTGCCGCTGCTTTTGTTTATTCACCAGGAGGGATTACACCCTGCCGAGCACCGTCCCCCTTTTAGAGGAATCACTGAGGACATACATTAGAGGGAGGAACGTTCTTTAGTGCTTCTCAACAAAAGATTTAGCTTATGAAGACCACAACGTTTCAGTTGCACGGGCAAGCCACTGACCATACGTATATGTACATATAAGTAATCTCTTCTCCTACAGTATGCGTCACCTCGTAAGTACCCTTTTCGCTATCCTGCTAAATGCACTAAACGCCATTGCGATCACTCTCACCAGTAGTGATCTCATATGCCAACCATGCTTCAATAGGAATTTACTCATTCCAGACCAATTAATGAGCGAATAATCTACCAGAAGTCTATATAGGAATACTTGGATCCATTCCAAATATTGATCATAAGATCTGTGTTCGTATGGAAAAGTAGCTTATGTCGAAAGGCTGGCTTTAGTATAATGCGGCAATCCCTTTATTTTTTAAACGGCAAGGAATTTTTCGATGAGACTTAATAAGAATATTGACTTGCTAGTATCGGAACTATTTCTTCCACGTTTATTTGTCAAAAGATGTTCAACGGCTTAGCGCCAGTGAGTCATTCGCAATGGTATGCTGCGAATGCCGATTTATACTAAAGCCAGCCTTTCGACATAAGCTACTTTTCCATATGAACACAGAGATAATGAAAATAAAAACATCAGCTAAGCAACTGTGATGTGGTGGATCAGACTCTTAAACAATAGCGTTGGATATCTGCCTACTGAAGTTCTTACACATTGTAAAAACTTTACCGATGACTCCTCAACCAACATCCTCAAGTCCATTAACTACGTGGTGGAAAATATGGAGCTGCACTCAAGGCATTTTCCAGGCTTCTAACTACTTTCAAACTAGCTCGTCCACGCCACGCTGGGTGCCAGGTTACTCGGGAGTGCCTGGTAATGAGTCATCTGACAATTTGGCCAGGGAGTGGGCAAACCAAGTATTTCTCGTTCTGACGGAAACTGGGTGAATATTTCACTTGCAGTTGGACAAAATTCATGTTGCCCTCTGTCTCAGAGGTTCTCGCTAGGTATTTGCTTCTAAGCAAATTGGACTGCAAATAGCTTGTGAGACTGTTGCCTGGTCACTTTTCGTGACATAGGCACCTGACTGTGACAGGCATACATGACAGCCCTATTTGCCCACCCTACCTTGAAGGAGATGAGACCGCGGAAGACTTTTTTGTCCATACCCCGCCTTCGCAAAAATTAGAGATTATATTACAATGAACACCTGAGCTCTTTGATACCCAACAATCTGCCTTCGACCTTCGTCCATGAAAGCCACCGACAGAAACTGGGTGAATATTTCACTCGACAGTGACTGGGAGGATCTGATTGCAGTAGGAGAAAAATCATGTTGCCCTCTAACTCAGGGGATCTCTGGTATTTTATTGAGCCGATTGGACTGCAGGTAGCTTGCGAGACTGTTGACTGGTCACTTTTCGTGGCATAAGCACCTGACTGTCAAAGTTATACATGCGGCTCCATTTGTCCTTTCTACCTTGAAGAGGATGCGACATTGGAACCTTCGCCAAATAATTTCTGAATTATTCGCAAATCGTGCAAATTTGAAACAGAATAAATGGGATACGAGAACAGTACAATGGACGGCATGCAGTCTGAGTTCCGTTTTTTGTGCGCATAGTTTTGTTATCTTCTTTTTCTTGATTCGCGCTAGTGAGTACAATAAAGCACCCCAGTCGTTTCTCTTCTGTGTCAACTGAAAACTCATAGTGCTCGTAGTTCCAACGTCTGCGGAATTCCACAACACCAACGCCCAAAGGCCCGTAAATCGTCTGCAGAATTTTTCTTTCGTTCACTCATTGCTATATCTACCAAAAAAATAAAAAAAATCCGATCTTCTGGCTTGCGGCGCTCAAAGAGAGCCAACAGCCTAAAGAGCTGGTTTCGGAGTTCTAATTTAAGCCTTTCGATTTCTCGCAAAAACTATAACCTTCATCGATAAGAATTCTTAGGAAAGCTCTTTCTTGAGCTAATAGCTTTCAGTCATTAAAAACTTGATTCATTCAAAATTTCTTCACTCACCTCCCGATATTGCTCCTCGAGCATATGATAGCGCGTCTGTAGCACAGCATATTCTGTCTTTGTGCGTGTCGTGCGATCCTCGGCGATATTCTGTGTGTCAGCTAAGTCAGTGACTTGACGCTGTAGCAGTTCCAGCTGGAAAGAGATAAAGAAAGAGAATAGGAATCAGTAAGAGTGCAAGAACAAACGTGGGTATGTATTTTTGTACGTATATAAGTAAGTGCAGATAAGAAGAGCGTGAGCAGCCGACTGATAAGCTGAAATTCATGTAAGAATTGTATTGCATTTGTACAATGTCTCAGCGAGCTGTCGCGTCGCGCAGGGCAAATGTCAATTCCATTAATTCTTCATTTTTTAAATATAAATTTTTCATTATTTTCAATTAGTGACAATACTAACACAATTACTCTTTAGTATGCGTAAATCGCCAAGTAGATCATCAATTAGCAACACATCCGCCATTGGAGTTTTCAAATGCATTTGTTGAATGTTACTTTTTTTGATGGTTTCAAAATCAATTGTTTAATTTTAGGAAAACTTGAATATTTGTTTAATGTTGTTCTGGAGATTACAGCATTTTTTGTTTGTGCGTGTGTGTGTGCGTGCGTTTCTGTTGTTGGTGCTCATTCAAATTCACTTTACAATTTATGATTCATCATCGCAAGAAAAACTTGCATAAAAAATTGGTTTGAATCCCCAAATGCATTGGCTTTGCTGCCAGAACTTCTGCATACATCCCTGTGTGTCAGTAGATGTATATTGTTTTATTTTTCCTTTTTACAATAAAATTTAATTTGTGCATTTATTTACACACGTCTTATGCGCAGTCACACTCATAAACAACTGAACTTTGGAACACATTTTGCACTGTGTAAAAAAATATTTGTTGTTAATTGTTGATGGTTGCGAGGAGTTAGCTGCTGCTATATATATAAATATGGAGCTGATGAGCTAACTGATGAGCGAGCGGGTGGGTGGTCCGATGATGACGATCTTGCTATGTTTACAGCAATCGATCTTTAGCGTTGGCGTGTCCCAACCCCACTTTTATCCATAAACAACTAAACGTTTTGAATAATTTTTTCTACGCTTCAAACTTTGCTAAAATGCAATGCAAAGTCATTAAATAAGCTCTTCGCATTCTACTCATCATTTTTTATTTTATTTGTTATTTACTTTTTTTTTCTATTTATTAACCGCTTCCTTACACGGTCGTCATTCATTTATTATCGTTTGCCCGCTTAGTAAAGCATACATATGTACATGCAAAGGTATGTACATGTATCTGACTACAGAAAACCCATCTTCATTTTGACTTCACCGGCTAGGAAGTCATTGCCAGTTACTAGGCGTGAAATGCCTTGCAAACTCTTGTTTACACTTTGCGTTCGCGCGACCAGCAGCAGTGACTGCAGCAACAAGCTGACAAGCAACATGTCTTATCTAATTTGTTTGTATACTTACAAACTTGAAACAACTGTTAACTGAGCACTAAAAGCGTTTAAGTGCGGTAAAGAAAGGTAAATACAGGGTGTGTAGTCAAAGAAGGAGAATGAATTTATTAGTTTTTGCTTTATGCTTTCGAAGATGAAGATCCTGAGAATGGGGTCTTAATCCCAGTCCGCAAGCTCGAAGTGGACATTATTGATCACGAATTTTGAACACAAGAACTCATGAAAATTCTTGGCGTGTAATTCCACCAAGAGGTCTAAGGTAACGATCCAAGGCTAGGTTATTGTGGCAGACCCGACAAGAGGACTCAGTTAGAAATTAGAGTGTCCATTGTACTACACAAATTGTTTGAACGTTAATTACAGGTTATCTGTGTAGAACTAGGAGAAGCATTGGATGATCAAAACAAAGTTCCGCAGTCAGCTGATGTCCACTACGGAGAACATTTCGGGAGTGTTGATGAAATACCCACCGAGAATCTTAAGCCTCGCCCAGTGCTTGCTGAGCCGAATGCGAGCCCATCTGTCCAGGAGCAGGTCGCAGGTTACCAACGGAACTCCTATACCCTACCTGTACAAGGTGATGGTCTCGAGGGTGCCCATTCATCAGCCCTGCAATTACCAGTGATGTCACTATGGGACCCAAATAAGATTGATTTGGAAGTATTCCGAGGCATTTGAGCGAAAAGTAAGGCATTATCTGACCGCTTGGCTATCAGAGTAGATTATTAACCTCCTAGTAGGCCAAACATTAATCCATAGCCAATCGACTGACTCTTTTATACTGCAGACATCCAATCAGTCTTAATATAAGATCTATTAAGAGTTGCTGACATTATACACCTCCTCCAACTCTCCCGTTCAGCTTCGATCTGTCCATGAAGATGTTTACTCCAGAGACTGCCGCTTTTCCATTCGCCCCTTGGAGGAATGTGCCGCGAGAAGAATCCGTTTGGGGCCAGCCTCGACACGCTCTTTTCCATTTCCCCATATAATGTGATTGGTTGATTACGGTTTCATATAGTCAGTATGTTACTTTTGGAGAGAAGTCCCGTCTCTTTCCTTCGGCATTTTCATAGCTGTATTCGCTCCTAGATATTTGGCTTCTATGATAAGTTGCCGTCCAGGATCACGCCCAAGAGCTTGACCTTGTCAGAGAGAAAAAGTGAAGCACCCCCTTTTGGGGGAAGCTGGGCCTGAGGAGCATCTCCTGGTGAATAGTATGAGCTGCGACTTTCCAGGATTTAAAGCAACTCCGCAGCTAGTACACCAATTTGTAACTAAATTTTGATAAGACCATCCAGATTGTCGAAGAACTTTCTTCTAACGATGAGTTCCACATCGTCCTCTTGCCATCCTCTTTTTCAACTCTCAAGGAGTAAATTATCCACAATACTTCAAGCTGAGATACAGCTGCTTCAACCTGCGCCGAGTAAGCTAAGTTTGAACTACAAAAGCTATGCACAGACGTCCATAAAGCCAAGCCACCATATAGCTACCCAACGAAGCACATTGGCAGGGTTAAAATCACACTCTGCGATGGCGTCAGCTTTTTTATCCGGCAGCTCCTGGTGCATGCGTCGGTGAGAAAGGTCGAAACTCAGGTGACCAGAAGTTTGCACATCCTCCGAGAACCCTGTGCGCCTCTACCTTCCATCAGCCTTAAAAGCCATTGGCTTCGCCGGACTATGTTTGTTAAGGCTAAAACACGACGGTGCAGCAGGAGTAGAATTCCTCAAATATCCTACATGTGAAAGTCTGGAAGTGCGATCCCGCTACTAAAACCCACGAAGCCAGACAACAAATGGGAATCTTATAGGCCGATGACTCTCATTTCTCCAGTATAGAAGACACTGCTACTTCCACTCTTTCGATGCCACCTGACCCTCACTATGGGCCAACTTGGCTTCCTTTGCGCTTTTAACCGTAACCTGCGCCCCTCTTAGTAGCTTTGAACTATTTATAGACCTTTGGCAATACACAAGAAAATTGGTTTGCCGTTTCTTAATTCCATCGTTTGTGGCGAAGGGTAAAAGATTGTAGTCCACAGGTTTGTCAAAACAGTGCATCCCGCGAAGCAACGGGACGACTTCTGATGCCGCTTGAATTGGGAATACAATTTCATGCTCAGCAAACCATTCTGCTCGTTTGCTCCGTGGAGAACAGACACTTGCTTGATGCAGATCAACCCCTAAGGTAATCATGCAGCATATCTGCGAACTCACGAACGAGATCCAGATCAGCAGATAGGGCATAAGCGACATTCACCATCAAACAATCACCACCAGAGTTGGGAAGGAGGGGGATGGAAATATCTGAAGTCAATTCTGTTCAAAATGCGGGCATACCTCTAACTCCTAAGGTCAAGGGCTGGCCTTCCTGTAGCATTACAAAAAAAAAAACTGTTTGGAGAATTCGGTCGCAGAATTCTGCAGAAGAGGCCACTACTTACGGGTCGTGCGTGGGTCAAATCCTAGTCGAAAGTGGCACCAGCCAAGAAAGGTATTTTCTTTGACTAAAATCACGGCCCGATATATTCTGAGCTGACTGTTTTAGAGACCAGGGCTTGCTGGTTTGTAGCAAATTGAAAACGGGAGAGTTTAGTTGTTGCTCATTCGGGATTTTGGGAGCGTTCTTGTTTGTTTGCTTGCAAAAGCGTATTGTGTGAGTTGGAGACCATAACGGCAGAGACTGCCAGTTGCCGTGAGCAACAACTGTCAGGATAATTTGTGGTTTACTTCCTATGTGTCTTAGGGCCACAACAGACTCTAATTCTATGTAACGGGTGATTTTTTTGAGGTTAGGATTTTCATGCATTAGTATTTGACAGATCACGTGGGATTTCAGACATGGTGTCAAAGAGAAAGATGCTCAGTATGCTTTGACATTTCATCATGAATAGACTTACTAACGAGCAACGCTTGCAAATCATTGAATTTTATTACCAAAATCAGTGTTCGGTTCGCATAGAATTAGAGTCTGTTGTGGCCCTAAGACACATAGGAAGTAAACCACAAATTATCCTGGCAGCCTATCCCCTTATGGTCTCCAACACACAAAATACGCTTGTGCAAGCAAACAAACAAGGACGCTCCCAAAATCCCGAATGAGCAACAACTAAACTCTCCCGTTTTCAATTTGCTACAAATTTCGTAATATAGCGGTAACCAGCAACCCCTGGTCTCTAAAACAGTCAGCTCAGAATATATCGGGCCGTGACTTTAGTCAAAGAAAACACCTTTCTTGGCTGGTGCCACTTTCGACTAGGATTTGACCCACGCACGAACCGTAAGTGGTACCCTCTTCTGCAGAATTCTGCGACCGAATTTTCCAGTTCGATGCTCTCCACCTCCAGCTCATCTCTGCAACTGCGAAAAATCGTTGGTGTGATATCCTAACCTTTTTCCATGAGTGCCCATCAGGCAGTGGCCGGTGATTACCCCGATTACTAATCTGAAAGAAGAGCTATCGAGACGAGTGAGAGCTACGGATGGCTTTACAATAATCCTTGACCAAATTTTCCGGGTAGTATGGTGGGTGGTTTTCACAGCCCACCTGGGATTTACCTCCTCGATGAATTCCTCCTTTAGTCTGTGCATGCAGGAGCTAGAGGTATGCCCGCATTTTATGCAGAATTGACTTCAGATATTTCCATCCTCCTCCTTCCCAACTCTGGTGGTGATT